CCTACTCTGTGGACTCCATTGGCATACACTAGAGAAAAGCGTTCCAGACAAGGCAGGGGTTGAAGGCAGTCGGGAGGGGTGGGATGGCCTCTCTCTGCGTGGACAGCTTGAGGTGAAGGGAGCCATGAGTACAGCAGGCGCAAAGCTGAGTGAGGCCTGCACCAGGGCAGAGAGAGGACCTGTGAGAGTGGGGGACAGAGTCTGTGCCGCATGGAGCGACAGGTAAGGCAGGAAACGATAGATGGAAGCCAGGTCATAGAGGGGTTCTTGGATGCCAGCACTCTGACCAAGAAATGACACTCGAAGGAACTTAGCTCAACCCAAATGCCACACGAACAGCGAGTAAATCTGAGTCCCGTTCGACTTTGAGGGTGGCCCCTTCTTCAACCAAGACACAGACTCAACACGGCAGGGTCTTTGTAACCTCACCACCTGGTGGCTCCCTCTGGCCACCAGCATCTTCCGATGGTCACACAACTTCAAAGATCTTCCAAACCAAGCCCCTCATTACTTAGAAGACCCCGAGAGGGGAGGTGAGTGACAAACGGAAATTTCCCAACTCGCACTTCAGCCCCGTGTTCACGGCCACCCATGGCTTTCCGCATCCTCAGGTAAAAAGTTCACAGGTTTTACCACCTTTACCTCGCCCGCCCGTGAACTTTACCTCTGGGGTTGCTAGTTACACGTTTTGTCATTACTACACACATCAAATCATTAGTTGTATAAATAGCTGGCAACTGGGAACAGGACTGTGGGCAAGCAGGGTTCAGCTGATATGGTTATACAACCCGAAACTGGGTACTTTGGACTTTGGTGCAACCAGGTTTGTAGCCTCAGCGTCTCCAGATAGTAACGCAGAAAGAAGCAATAATGATTAAAGACACAGAATCCTACTGTTAGCAAATGAGCACTCTTCATTTTTTGGGGTCTTGTGAAAAAAGGAGACCTGGGGTTGGAGGGAAGACTGCAGTAGCAGCTCTATCTCTCACGTGGGACTGCAGGACTCTGGATACATCAGCTCCCATCTGTGAGCCTCGGTTTCCTCATCTGTAACTCAAAAGGTTTGGATCAGAAGCTCTAGGGCCCTCTTAGTTCGAGGATTCCAAAAGTAACTTAGAGGAAGGGCTACTTAATTTACAGGAAAAGGTCATGGAGTCCCTAGGTGGTACAAACGGTTAATGCTCTTGGCTATTAACCAAAAGGTTGGCAGTTCAAGCCCACCCAGAGGTGCCTCGGAAGAAAGGTCTGGTGGTATACCTCTGAAAAACCAGCCATTGAAAACCTTATGGAGCACAGTTCTACTCTGACAGACGTGGGTCGCCATGGGTCGGATTCGACTCCATGGCAACTGTTTTTTTATCATGTTGGCATAAGATGCTGTCCCCAAATCAAAGTGGCTCAAGTCCACTTTCAAAACATCAATGTCACCAACAGAGGGTGAAAAGGCAACCTGACCCAGCTTCTCCCAGCATCTGTGCCACAAATCCAAGGCACGGCAGTTGCTTTGCAGGCCTTGTTTCTAAGCTGGCTGTGTTACTCCTGGCTGACACTGGGAAGCCTCTGCAGGAGCAAGACAGGAACTGGTGAGCTGGTCAGTCGCCCTCGTCTAATCACCTTGACATTCTGCCTGGAAGCAGGGGCCTGGAGGAGGTGACCTCTTGAAGTCCTGGGCCAGCCCCATGATTCTGTAATCTTTGCTTTACCATAATTAGGGAGGGAGACATAACAGTAGGATGAGAAACCATTTATTACTTCTCTGGGATTTGACAGCTTGGAAAAAGACAGAGGGGGAGATGGAGAAACAGTCAGGGAAGAAGCCAGTCACAGTGAGTTTAGCCTCTTGGTAAAATAAAAACGGGCTCACTGTACCTCATCAGCGGCTCTCTGTCAACACTTGGGCCCATATGACAGAACCCGAGGTTCCCAGCTAATTGGCATTTCTCAAACAGCCAGCAAAGAGCTTTAAAAAATATGGGGGGGTGGGGGGTGGAGGGTGTGTGTGTGTGTGCGTGTGTGTGTGTGCGTGTGTGTGCGTGTGTGTGTGTGTGCGTGTGTGTGCGTGTGTGTGTGTGTGTGTAAGAGCAGGCTGAGACAGTTCCCCACCCCCATCCCTGAGCTTAAAGATGAAGAATCCAGCCTGCTTGTCCCAAGCAGATGTAATCACACGAACAGTCAAGTCTAGAGGGCAGGACACTGCATGAATAATTCAAGCACTCCAGTCACTTGATTGTGTGTGCAGATAAAACACCAGTCAACCGCTAAACAGGTCAGCTGATAAACTTGTTTGCTCAGGCCTAACCACCATCCGCCAAATGCACCCAAGACCCATACTACAATTAGTGGTGGGGTTTCTTCTGCAGAACCCTCCAAGCCTGGGGAGTGGCCAGCCCCATTAGGTCAGGGTTGCTTTTCTCAGAGCCTGGTTTCTTCACCTCCTTGCCTCTTTGTTCCTACACAGCCAAAGGGCGAGTTCACCCAACTTGGAGATTGCCATTAACCCTGCAAAGGCAGGGCAGTCAGAATACACACACACACACACACACACACACACACAGACACACACAGACACACAGACACACACACACACACACATGCTGGGAAGCAAATGGGTACAACTCAGAGGCTGGAAAGCAAAAACAAGTGGCAGACAAGAAAAAGACGCCCGGTTTGGGAAACCAGAAGCCCAGATCTGAGTCCCAGCTGTTCTCCTGCCCCCTCCCCCAAGCCTCAGTTTCCTCACCCATAAAAGGGGGAGCAGAGAGTCCCTCTGTCCACCACTGGCGGCTGAGAGGATTAAATGAGACAACACAGCCAAACCTCAGGCATTCTCCCCCTAAAAGCCCAGTTTGGGGAATGGCCAGAAGTCCCAGATGCTCACAGCTGCTCTTATACAAACAGTACCACCAAATCCATTAAGATGTTTAACTCTTCCTAGGCTCAGTGTCCCCCAGTGTCCTCGAGAACAGCTTTGCTCTGCCAGCCAAGGTAGATTCCTTGTGCCAAGTAACCATCCACTCACAGACTCAGGGAACGCGGACCTCAACATGCAACAACGTATTATAACTTAATTACGAAACTCTTAGGATAACTGCTGCTATAAATTTTAAACCTGGGTACAATTACCCTCGTTAAACACACCCAAGATACTAAGCACTCTCAGAAAGAAAAAACAAAAAAAAGCGGGTGGAAAAAGAGGGGCGGTGACACCTTGGATAACACCCCACGGTTCCTTGAACACCTGGGACCCCAGGTTTACTTCATGCATTCTGCTGGACTAGTCAGATCCAGTCAGCTCTGCCTCAAGCTGGGGAGAACCTGTCTCTCTAGTCCATTCCCCGGAGAGAGCACATCTTTACACACCAAGCCATGTCTGTTTATGATTTCTGTGGTTAAGAAGTAAAAATGTGTTCGCCTTCATGGGCCCTCCTAAAGCATAATCCCCCAGCAAGCCACAAGCTGGCTTTGCCCGTTGTCAGTAAACGCAGGCCCTTTTCCAGCGGCCCTTCACCCAACACTGGGGCTCCCCCCAGGAGGGAAAAAGAAACTGCAGATTCAAAAGGCTCTATGAGAAGTCACTGGAGCGGGCAAGAATCTGCAAGCGCTCCAGGGGTCACCTGCCCTTCTCACCTGCCCCGGGCCTGGCCCCCCTTAAAAAGCAAAATTTAAACCTTGTAAACGACTGTTAATTTAGAGCAGAAAATCCATTCAAGTCACGGTTACCAAAGGCTAGAATGAGTCAACAGCCTTCTGAGATTTCAAGAACACCAATTGTTAAAAAGAACAACCGGCCTGTGCCATTTATACGTGCCAAGTCAACTCCATTGGCCGGCCAAGCCAAATTATAGGCAGCCTCTCCTCGGAACACAAACACACAAACAGGCCTCTCCCACAGCCCAGCCCAGCACCAGGACTAGTTACTGATATGCACCGAGATAAAGGGTGTTTGTATTTGCAAAGTTTAAGGTATACTGTTATTAGAACAGTGACATTATGAGGCAGTTTACATATCCATCAAAGGACACCACTGACTAGCAAAACTGGTTTGACGTCAAGATTTCAAAGCTCAGCTCGCTCAACTCCCAGCCATCTCCAAAGACTGGCTAGGCTGCCCCTGGGCAAGTTACTTCACCTCTCAACTTTAGCTTGCTTCTCCGTAAAATGGGAACGCAGCTGCCTTCCAATTAAGATAGAGATGAGAAAGCTACCTCGTAAGTGCAAGGCATCAGAATTGTGTTTCATTCCAGCTTTGTGTTTTTTAACAGGGCTTTGAACCAGTTTGTTGGGGTTTGAACCCCTGCTGAGAATTAGCATTTCTAGTAAGTTCCCAGGCAACGCTAATGCTGCTGGTTCTGGACCAATTCTGAGAACCACTAGTAGACCAGTGGTTCTCAAAATTTATTACCTAAGAATCGCCTGGGGATCTTGTTAAAATGTAGATTCTGGTTCAGTATATCTAGGGTGGAAATGCAAATTCTCAGCAATGACAGAAAGAAACCAATCAGAAGGAACCAGTTCAGAGCCCTGGTTTTTAAGAGGTTAGCAGCTTCACTCCTTTAAATTTCAATAGCTTGACCTGGCTTTTAAGGCTCTCAAAGTCTAATCTTATCAAAGCACAACATCACATTTTTGCAAAAAACCCTCTTCTTGAGAATTTTACATTAAAACAGATAAGAGCAGTCAGCCACCCCTGGGCTTTCAGGAGTTTGTAAAGCAGATCCTGAAGACACAGCTTTCCCTTTGGTCCTTTATCCTCCACCAAGATCCAGGACCAGGACTAATTTCACAAGCTTCATGCTAAAAGCTCAAAACATCCCAGAAATAAGAAAAGCTTCGGACCCTGCATTTCAAGGATTGGATCCATTCAATTTTCAAGGGGGGGAGGGGAGGAGCAGGGGTAGGGGAGAACTAGATTTTCAAACAGGAGGGGACAGAAAAATTCCGCACACATGCATATATGTATTTTTTAATTAAATACACTTCTTAAAGAGAAAAGCACTTACCTGCTTGTGCATTTCAATGTTCAAGCCATAGGACATCTCGTAGTACTAAAAGTAAAAAGAATTATCATTAACAGACAACCCAGAAACCTGTTCACTTTTCAAATTCCTTTTTTTCTTGCAAAGGTTTTGGCCAAATCATGATTTTATGGCACATTTACTAAAGACATTTTAAATCAAACTCCAAGCAGGAGTTTAAGAGCTGACTAGAGGAATTTAAGAGCTGACAGTGGGCAAGTGTCTCTCCCTCATCTGACAGAATATCATATACACGGTAGAAAGAACAGCTCAGGCCCTGCTTCCAACAAGCAACGCATGTGCCATACATCCTGTTTATACAAGGTTTGAGTTCAACAGGGAGTAGTGTGTACACTGGGACCCTCTTGTCCACCGAGAGTTATTTAGTGCTGTGTTGAAGGCCTCTTATGTGGAAAGCAGTGGAGGGAGTGGTACTCGAGTACCTTCCATGCCCTCTCACAAACAGAAGACTGAAATTTGCTGGAACAGAAGCTGGGGAAAGCTTCTGCCCCAGAACTGAAAAGGCTTTCAGTTGGGGGATCCCCTAAAAAGAGGAACGGAAAAGAAGGACTTTCAAAGGCTTCTCTAGCCTCAGAAACCTCTGGGGAACGAAGGGCAGGCAGAGAGGGCCTCTGCTGGACTCTGGCTAGATCCCAGGGCTGCAAAGTAGAGAAGTTTCCAGCACCACCAGGAGGTCTTTCAGAAAGATTTTTATCCAATCCTGAGATGGGCTGACCCAATCCTATCTCACCAGCCAAGATACAGCAACCAGCTCTCTGAGAAGCCTTCACAACTTACAGCCGCACAATGGTGGAGCAAAAGTCCTTGGCCTAGAATTTGGGTTTTGCTTTTGGCCCCCTGCCGGGTCCTGCTCCCACCCACCCCCCTCCAAGTGGCTAAGGCTAAGGGAAGCCGGCGCAGGGGCTGAGGACACACAGGTTACAGTGTGCTCCCAGGCACTGGCCGTGGTGGGGGGGCCCTGCTCCAGTTTCCCCAGACCCCCGCCCGTGGCCGCCGGCCGGGTGGGCGCCCTCCCAAGCCTTCTGTCGCCTCTCACCATCACATAATGGCGCTGCATCTCCGTCTTCTCGTTCGCCAACTTGTCGTACTCCACTTTAAGGCTGCGAAAGCAGAAGGAGCCGGCTCAGGCCTGCCGCCTGCACGGCCTCCTCCGAGGTTCCAACCGAAGGGCCTCTGAGAGCCACTTTTCCACTTCTCCGACACCCCCGGGAGTACCCCATTATTCCGCGGAGAGTGGAGGGTGATTTGGGTCCCAGCCGCGGGGAGGGGAGAGTGAGACAACTTGAAAAACTTCGCGCGGCCGAGTAGACTCATCAAAGGCGCGCGGGACCTCTGACGCTGGCTGGACACCCCCAGACCCCGGAGTGAGTCAGTCGGTGACTCCAACCCTCCAGCCGGGGGTGGGGGGGGGTCCCTGCGAGCTGCATGGGAAGCGGGTAGGCTTCGGGCGGCAAAAGGTTAAGGCGCCGCGCTCGGAAAGGGGAAACAAAAGGCGGAGGCTGGGGCTGCCCTGCCGCCCCGCAGTCGGGAGCCCCCTCCGTCCGGAGTGGAGTTGGCAGGATCCTCGGCAGGGACGCCCCCTCCCCGCCAGTCCCCGGGTGCCCCCCACAGCCTTACCTGTGATATTGAGCTTGCAGAAACTGGAATTCGTCTTTGATCCTGTCACAAGACTCAGCCACCGTGAATTTAAATCCCGGCTGCCCGGGTTGATGGGGAGCCTGGAGCCCAGGAGAACAAGACAGGGGAGTGGGCGGGGGCATCAGACGGGGCTCCAAGCTGCTCAGGCCCCTCAGCAGCTTCCCTCCGCCTCCCCCGCCGGCGCCCCGGCCACCAACCCAGAACCTTCCTAGCAAGTTTCTCAGCTCCCGGACGGGGGTGGGGGGGTGCCCAGTCCCTCCTTCAGCCGCGGGGCTCCCATCCCTTTCACTAAGGGGCTCCCATGCCCAATTCAGGTGGGGGCGGGGGAGACACGCTGGGTGAGTTGGGAGACTAGGATTGGGGGCAGTATGGAAACAGTTCCCCTCTTTCACGGGTAGCCCCCCACGCCACTCAGGCGGAATTAACCTCTCCTCTCAACGGCGCCCCCATCCCCATCCCCTTTGTGTGAGCACACAAACGCACACAAACACCATAAAGGTAGCAACAAGCAAAATGGAGGTGCCAGATAAACTACCTCGCTTACCCTGCCATGATAGATGCTTAAATAAACCGAGTTGCAATTACTCACCGGATGTCTGCCTTGCGGATACATGGCAGGGAGGGGTCGTGATTCCGAGAGCGTGGAAGCGCCGAGAGCCCGGGCCGGGGAGGTGCGGGGGAGGGGGGAGCCAAGCCCGAGCGGGGGGCGGCCGGGAAAGCGGGAGCTCGCCCCCGGCCCCCCCAGCCCGCTCTCGCAGCGAAATCCCAGAGTCGGGCGGCCGCCCCAAGTGGAGACAAAGAGCCGCGGAGCAGGCAGCAAAGTCGTCGGCGGGCGCCGAGGCCGGGCGGGCGGGCAGGCGGGCACCGGCTTTGTGCGACTAGGGCTCGGCGGGCTGCGGCCGGCCGCCTTCCCCAGGCTGCGTCGAGCGCGTCAGAGCCGGGGACTGCGCGGACATCGTCGTCTCCGTGGCGGGTCCAGTGCGGGGTCCCGAGGCCGGGGGCCCTTCCTGCGGCGAGCGAAGGCCCCCTCCGGATCACTCAGCCCGTCGCGCCGGGAGGGGGGCGCGCCGGGGCAGCCCCAGCATCCGGGGCGCGCAGGTCGGATCCCAGAAGCGGTCGGATCCCTGGCTCGCGGCGTGGAGGAAGAGGAAGGAGTCAGGCACCGAGGTGGCGGCTTGGGGCCGCGAGAACGCCGGAGGGTGAGGGCGGGAGCCCGGCGCGGGGGCTTCGACGCCCCCCCTCGGAGAGGAGAGCCTGCTGTTCAGTCTGCTACTGCCGCCGCCGCCGCCGCTGCTAGCTCTTCCCAGGGCGGAAGAGAAAACTCCGGGTTCAGTAGGTGCAAATAAACCGTTCTGGCATCCTAACTCCAGCAGACGTGGGAAGCCTCCGCAAAAGGGTTCTCGCTGCTCCCAGCCCGAGCGCCGGGTCCCCAGCGAGGAGCGCTCGGCTCTGTCGCCGCCGGGGTGCGCGCAGACAGGAGAGCGCTGGAGGGAAGACGCAGCCCGAGACCGAGGAGCTCTGCGGCTTCCTTCCTTCCCCTTGGCCCGGCTCTCCTCTCCGCGCCCCGACAAACCCCCAAAACACACACCCAGACACACACACCCGACACATACACACACCAAAAAAAGTACCCGGACCCTGCGGATACCACACACATACAGGCGAGGGGGACGAGCACGAGGTCTGAACTGCCGCGAGAGCAGTTCCAAATAGGGACTGAAAAGTAACAAAATAATGTGGCAGCTTCGCCGAGCGATGGCCAATGGGAGCTCGGGGCTCCCACGTGGGGCTACCGGACTCGGCCCGCGACTGGGCGCCGCTGGGCTCGACGTCACAATGCCCTCTTGTGTCTAAAACTATGCATGAAAAGTAGCAATCAGGCTGTACCCGCTGGTGACTTTCGCATGGGAGTGAAAAACAGCGCTCCTCAGACCAGGAATTAACCGAAAGACATATAATAAATAGATATATATTATAGTCCGGAGCTGCTAGAGTTTTTTTCCTCCTCTCTTATTTTTCCCACGATCTACTAGCAAATAATTATTTGGCGGGAGGGAGAAAAACAGAAGACAGAGAAATAACAAAAGAAAAAAAAAAACCTACACAATCCTGAGAACCTGTGGCTGTTAGTAATATACCAGTTTATTCTGCATTGGCGGCGAACGATTCCTCCCTCTAATCTCATTAGGTCTGCAAAGCAGCCCAATTAGATACTATAAAACAAGCAGAATCACTTTGTCACTATGATGTTTTCACTTCACAAGATTTAGGACCGATAAAATGGTGGCTCCCAAAGTTGCCTCTCCCTCTCAAAATTTGCTCGGAACTGGGGGTGCCCCTCTCTTTACCGTTCTCCCGCCCTGCCCCCTGCCCCCCAGCTTTCTTCTTTTCTCTGTTCCTTCGCCTTTCTTTTCAGAAAGCCAAATAAACAGTGTCTTTGATGTGCAACGGCTGCCTGCGAGAAGTCTGAGGAACTCGTGCTTGGCGGGCAGCGCAGATGGAAGGGCCCGGCTGCCCTCCGACAACCTGCTCAGTTCGCGGCTGTTCCCACTCGGGGCTCTTTCCCCGGAGGGGGCAGTTACACCTTCTCTGCAGCCCTATCCAGCGGGCCCCTCACTACGCAGACCCTGGCCAGTGCAGCGGAGTAGGGGACGGGGTCGGGGCCCTGCACCGCCTGACTCGGGAGTGCCGAGTTCGGACCCGGTTTACTCGGCCTGCTCGACTGTCACAGCGTGGGCGGAAGCCTGTGGAGGAGCGTGGGTGCGAGTCTGTGGGTGTCTCCGTCGCCAGCCTCGACGCCCCGGGGAGGCGCAGACGCCTATTCGCCACTCGCCCTCCGGGAGTCACTGCGCGGTCACATAGACCACTCGACTCCGGGGGTCAGTGAGCCTGAAAACCGATAGCCTTTATCTCCTGCGCTTGGGGTTTCACGTCAGGTCGGGCCGGTGAGGGGAAAACGGCCTTCGACGGGGCCCCGAACCAGGAGATGCCGCGCTCCACACCCCCGCGGGCACCTCCGGGTGGGCAAAAGCAGGTGGGCCCCTGCCCAGCATCTCGGCAAATCTGCCCGAACCCCGCAGCCGGCGGCAGGAGTGGGCCGGGCGGGCCAGGGGACTCGCGCCGGGAGGTAGCACCAGGCGCGCGCGAGCCGGCCGCGCGCCCCCGGATCTATGTTTTCCCCTCATAGGAGCCGGAGGTTCGCTTTTGCATCTTAATGAGGAGCTGCGAGCGAGCTGGCGCTCCGAGGCCAGTGCGCAGGGAGTTACACGTGAGCGCCTGCCTCAAAGTTGAACCTCCTCGTTCTCGCTCCGGCCGCAAGCCTCGAACCGCGCTCTATTCATTTATTTATTCTCCTAAATAAAAACATAAATCGTGTGCGGCGCGCACCAAAGAGGGAGGTGGGGAGAAACCCGCTCAACAGACGCCAGCATCTGGCCGCAGCATTCATTAGACACAAAATGGCTCCTCTTTGGAGCTTCCTTTTCCCCTCCCCCTTCTCTGCCCTCCCCCTTACGTCACGGGTGGGCGCACCAGCTTCCTACCCGTCCCGCCCCTTTCTCTCTCCTGGCCCCCACGTGGGGGCCGTCGACCCCGCCCCGGAGCATGCCGAAAGACCAATCACAGACCGCCTTAGGGAGCTTTCCGCCGTTGATTGGTGAAGCCGCCGAGGACTGTCAGTCCGCGGCCAGAGCTGTCAGTCAAAACCACGCGGGGTGGGGGAGCGCTGACAAATGCCGAGGCTTCTGAGCCTCCCGCTTGCAAATAGTGCTTGGAATGGCTGCTTAATTAGCTTTGAATGGCTTTTCCTTCCAGCTCAAACAATCTGTCACTACCATGTGGTATAAAGGAGCCATGCATAAAAAAGTAAGCAGAGGCTAAATATCAATTTGATTTTGTGTATCAAAGGAATATTTTATTTTTCTCCCTAGTAATGAAACGTATCAATTTAAATAATAAAAGGTAAAAACACACCACACACACACACACACACACGCACACACACACACACACACAAAGACAGAAAAAAGGAAGAAGAGGAAAAAAAAGAAAACCCAAAGTCCACGGTTCTCCGACTCTTGTGCACGCCTGAAACAGGTAATTTCTACGGCCCACGTACAGGAGGAAACCTAAAGATCCCCCCCTACCCCGCTTTTAAACTTGCATTTAGGGTTTTCTTGTCCTCCTGAAGTCTAGGAGTGATGGGGGAGGGGTGGTCTGCAGAAGGGGGAGTGGAAGGGGGTGAACTTTAAGGAGATCTCTTTGAAGCTGCTAATCAAAGTGAAGGGGGTTTTAAGATCCTGTAAACTGGGGTTCCCACAGCAGGTCTCGATTTGGCAGCCGAGAGGAGAGGCGGTAAAGAGCCAGTGTGCGTCTCGCCTGGATTTATTAAACACAATGCCTTCAAGATGCCCACGACGCGGCGCCTCGTCGTCCTCGCTCTCTTGGTCTCCCTCTGTACCGGTTCAGACGGCGCCCGCCTGCACGCAGCCGAGAAGCCCTCGGGCCCCCAAGCCAGGACTACGTGTACTGTGGGCAGAAAAGCACAGCAGCTCTTGTCTCCTGTGTCTCTCCTGCCCCGACGTTCGCGCTCCTGGGGACGCGTCTGTGTCCCCCCCACGAACCCTGGCGCTCCTGCTGAGCAGATCCACATGGGGTTCACCAGAGAACCCCAGCGCCTGCACTGGGCCAGGCACTCGGCAGGAGCCGGGGACTGTTTGACAAACGAATGGCTACGTGTGATGGACGAGGTTTTGCAGAGCGCCGCCTCCTCGGCAGGGCCGGGCTACAGCACAACACCACGCATCCAGGAATAACAGCGCTAGAGCGCTTACTAAGTAAAAGGCACCGCACTGCTATTCAGGCGACCTTTCTTCATTCTCACTTCACTCATGAGGGAAGCGGCAAGGCTGGTGGCCCCATTTTACAGAGTAAAATAGAAAGGCTGAGGAAGCTCAATTTGCCCTCCAGCTGGGCGGACGGGTTAGGATTCGAACCCAAGGCAGCTGGCTGGACAGCCAACCTCAGCGCCACCATTGCTTCAGTGAGCTGGTTTCCTGAGAGCAATTGCTGAAGAGAAGGCATTCATTAATTCCCATCCACCCATCCATCCATTCATTCATTCATTACCTGCCCTTTCTAGGGTCTAGCGGCGGGATTACAAGGCCGGCTCGTCTGCCTCTGGCTCCCACTTTCTCCACGATCAGCGTGGCTCCCAGCTCTTCCCAGCTGCCTGAGCCCTGAGCAGGAAGGGAGACCGGGAGGTAAGTAACCAGGCCAGCACCCCTTAACCAGGCCAGCATCACCACTTTGACCCCACACCATGCCACTCCACAAGTTAGGAAAGTCAAGAAGAAAAATAAATATCTTTTATGCCCGAGAAAGAAAATATATCTATACACACACGCAACACCCTGTCCAAAACGCTTGACAATTATTTTTAAAGAAGCGGGGGGGGGGGGGGGAGGATGGAGAGAAAAGGTTCAAACGTCTCTGACTCCAGTTCTAATTGGAAACGTTTCAACTGTTTACATTACAAGAAGTGTCAGGGTCATTTGCTACCAGAGAGCTGACTTTTCATTGGCTGCTTAATTGAGTACCTCGGAGTCCACCCCACGTGGGAGAGGAATTCCTGGCACATTAAAAAAAAGTCACCCGGGTGAAACAGAAAGCCCGGCATGGAGTTACAGAGCGGAAGCTCCCTGACCCCTCATCAGGGGTGCAGAGTGGTTAGTGGATAGATATCTGCCAGCTCCCAAGAACCAGTCCTCCAGTTCTTCAAAAATAATTATCCAGTGCTTTAGACAGGGTGTTAATGTATTTTCCCCGGAATTAAAGGGTCTGGCTCAGGCTGATCACCAGGCTGTGGCCTCCTATTTGAGGAACTGATCACAGAGCCTTGGGTGGGGTTTTGAACCTCTCCTTGTCATCCCTTCCCCTAGAGCCTCCACTGGCTTTGATTTTTCTAGGCCTC